AGATACCTGGGCATTCAGCTGGACAACAGACTGTTCTGGAAATGCAACACTGAGGCTGTCTATAGGAAGGGACAGAGTAGACTCTACTTCTTGAGGAAGCTTAGGTCCTTCAATACGCGTGGCAAGATGTTGCATGTCTTCTACCAGTCTGTCATGGCAAGTGCAATTTTCTTTGCAGCCATCTGTTGGGGCAACGGAAGGCTGGCCCTGTGCTAGGGACTGCTCTGGAAACCCTGGAGTTGGTTGTGGAAAGAAGGATGTTGCACAAGCTGCTCAATATTATGGACAATACTACCCACCCTCTACACAACCTACTGGTCATTACAGGAGGTCATTACTGCCCGTGGCAATAACCATCTACAACAGGGGTGCCCAAACAGTCGATAGCGATGGAGTAATTCTCACTCGATCGCGAAGTGCAATTTAGCATGCAAACATGTCAGAAGCCAGAAGATCAAAAACGTATCATTTTCATTCAGAGTGGGAAGAGGTTATTAGAGATTATTTTTTTGTTTACTCAAATTCGAAGTCCATATGTCTTATATGCAATGCGAGCGTGGCTTTACCGAAGAAGGGCAATTTGGAGCGACATTTCAAAACGATGCACAAAAGCTACGAGAGCAGGTTCCCTGCTATAACACCCATGCGCAGCTGAAAAGTGCGAGAACTGAGAAGTCAGTTAGCAGCACAGTGGTCAATTTTTACCTAGCTGCATCTTCCCAGTGCCAGTGGTCCCACTAAGGTAGAGTAATACATTTATTTAAATTTTTTCAATTTGGAGAACTGTCTGGATTTGTTGTGTGCATGTTAACTATGTAGAAAGACAATAGCTAGAGTAATAATAGAGTAAAAGAGTAATAGCTATGGCTCCCTAATTGAACTGGTAGATCTTGGCACACTGGCCACTTGAAAAATAGATCTTGAGTTAAAAAAGGTTGGGCACCCCTGCTCTACAACAATGTGTTTCTATGCCAGAAGAAGAGACCTCTTTTCTAAGGGAATGCACAATGCACATTTACATTTATTTTGCACTCTAAGGTATATGTCAATTGTAAAGTTTTTAATCTAGCATAGTAATTTTTGTATATTTGTACATATACAGCTCTGGGAAAAAAATCATTTAGTTTAACTCATTTCTCAATCTATGGGTATCCTTCTGTGTAAAAAATAAATTCTTCAAACTTCAGCCTGTTTTTTTCCTGTTTCTCATTAATGAAGGGCTTCTTCCTTGGTTTAAGGGTCTTCAGTCCTGCTTCTAGGAGCCTAATATGAACTGTCCTAGCAGTGCACTTTACACCTGCACTTAATGTTTCCCATTTGTTTTGAAGGTCACTCCAATTTATGAGGCACTGCCAGATAAGTTGACAGTCAGTCATCTCTGGCATTAGAAAGTTGCTTCTGCCCTCTACCTGCCTGGTTTTTGGTTATTGCCAGTGTCTCCTGCTTCACCTTGTTCTTGTGTGCTGCTGTCTTAGAAATTCTGAGGCTGGAAACAACCTGCCGCTCAGTGTAGCCTTCTGCCAGCAGAACCAGGATTAAACTGGGATTTAATAATGCAGATTCTTAAAATATATGGAGTGGTCCCTTAATTTTTCCCAGAGATATATATCTTTGTGATTTGTAATTCTGTGTTATATCCAGCTCTATGCCTACCTCATGCCTGTGTATTTCTGTCATTCATATAAATTGATACAGCAATACAAAAATTTCCCCTTGAGGATAAATAAAGCAATTTGAATTTGAATCAAAAGCTTGAATTTCATTAAGTGAATACCAGAGCTTGAATGTAAATATGTTTACCTGAACTTGAATTCAACATTTACATTTATGGTTTTTGGCAGACGTCTTAGTGAGAGCAACTTACATAAGTGCTTAGATGTCTCATCAGTGAATACATTCTGAATTAAAGAAACTGAATTGCATTTGTTACCTGAATTTGAATTCATGATGCTTGTGTGGTAATAAAAATTCAAGTTCAGGTTAACACATTCAAATTCAGTTAAAGAAATTCAAATTCAGATTGTGGTGAGTCTGATTTGACACCACTGATGACAGGCTTCTTCCTATCAGCGATGGCATGTTGTCTGTTGGAATTGGTGCATCTTTTTTGTAGTCCACTGGCATGCAGAAACCAACCTGTTCCCAATTCGTACTGTGAAGAAGGTCTAGTTACAGCGTGGTTCCAGCCTGCTTTGGTTTTCCATTGCAGAAGGGTTGGCTCGATTATTATTATTATTGTACTGTGCACTAATTTATGCTAGCAAGTTTGTGAGAATCACCACGCTATGCAAGTATAAAATAACAAAATTAGCATTCACCTGTCCTGCCTAATATAGCAAGCAGAGGCGAATCAAGGCAACCAGGTTTATTTGGGGTCAAGCAAGGGGAAGTCGTTAGCCGTGTCCAAGCCAAAAACTGTACATCAGAAGCCAGAACGTAATCCAAGGTCATCATCAGAGAAAGGGAAGCCAAGGTCAAAAGCCAGGGGGTCAGTACGCAGATGCGGAGGATGAACACAGGGAGATCCAAGAGAGGCTTCACGGGGAGGGCGGAAGGGCAGGAGGGCAGGCAGGAGTCGCGGGAGGTTCGGGCAGGGCAAGGAAGATGGAATGTAACTGGGGAGACAACGAGGAGTTACAGCGCTCAGCATGTGCATTGCAACAATACTTCGCACTGGACTAATGCCAGTGCGTGACTTAAGCATGGTTGTGTTAATTAGCTTCTGTTGACTTCCGCTGATCTCGCGAGGTGGGCGTGACGCACTCATGTAAATTTACATTATGAATCCATTCCAAACTTTTTTAAATAGGAGGTTGGAAATCTTCAAGTTCGAAGATTTTGGGAGTGCACTACTAATAATGAATAATTATACAATATGCGCTTTTCCTTCAGTTAATCCTTGTCCAGAACACCAGTATCTCCGTGCATTTTGACCAATCAGATGGTGGCAGTTGGGTTTGGTCACGCTTTCGGCCCTGCTAGTAAGAGTGGCCATGTGAGTGTGGTTACGGCTCAGGTACGGTTCGCAGTACAAGTTGGGTATGGCTCGGTTCTTGGCGGCAGTGGAAAAGCGCTATAAGGGTGTAGCTGTGAATCCCAGCCCATTCAGGGGTGGAATGGCACAACAGAGAACACGGAGAAAAACCTCGTCACATTAGATCAATAATGGCTTGAGTGGTTCGAAAATCCAGGCCTCACAGGCGAGTAGCATAGAGGAGGCTGTGGTTGAAGAAGCACAGCTAATCTCAGCTAATTCGCTGGGGGGAGAGACTGAGTGGGAGAATATGCCTTGTGGGACATTGGCTCCGGTGCTAAGTGCTGAGAACCAGCATCACGCTACACATCATCTGCAACTCAGCTGGTTCCCTACTGTGTGGCGCAGTGATGCTACAGTAGCATCATGCTACAGGGATGGATCAGTGCTGGAGGATCCTGCTTCAGTGTGCAGGAGATCTGGGACTGTGCATCTTGCAGGGGGACCATGGTTCCAAGTACAGAGTTAAAGCCATGCTGGAAGAACATCAGAACTAAAAAGGTGGTTTCAGAATGGCGCACTCACAGCCAGGAAAAAAATGTGGCAATCAAGGATATGAAAATTGCGATTTATTCATGCTCCGCGTGCAGCCCGATGAAGCTTGTAAAAAAGAATGAAGAAAAATTGTATTGTTCAGGCTGACAATTCTGGTACCTGGCAGAAAATCTGGGGCTGTCATTTTCACCAAGGGAGCACAAATGAACTCAAGAAGATAAATGCTTAGAGAATTTGTCATTTTCTGTTTTTATTTGTGAAGGTCTGCCAAATTTTGTTTTCACATTGACAAAATAATTTTGTACTGTCACTGGAAAAAAAAATGAAAGTTAAATATATTATGATTGCATTTTATAAGAGAATATAATGAGGAAGACATTGTTATTTTCCTCTTCACTGGATTTGAAAGATGCTCTCTCTGTAGCGGTGACGGGACCTGTGCTGGTCATGACGTCACATGAGACACACGTGTTATTCCTTTCTTTATTACTTTCTCCACCCACGCCATGCAGAATCTCTATCGGCAAAGGAGACATTATTTGCATCGTGGGACAGGTGCTTAAGAGCACTGACTGTCTTTCTTTTGTCTTTCTGCATGTCCTGTTTGTTTACCCAACCTTCCCCTATTTGGTTGTGTGAATTACTCTTGACTTAATAAAGAAAAGTGTTATTGAAGATCTGCACTAATAATTTCAGAGCATAAGCAATGCTTTATATGGAGTAGAAGCCTGGAATCTGATGAATGCAAAAGAGTTTGACTTTGTCGTTATCATTAATGCAGGCAATGGAACAGAACCGCTCAAAACAATTAGCATTCTAGGTCCGATCTAGGAACCGATCGATACGGCTACTAGGTACCGATCGATACAGCTTCTTAAACCTCCCCAATCTGTATAGTCCAGCTTTGTGTTTCACAACTCACACGGATTGTGCTGATTGGATCTCAGCATTCACTGTGATAGCACTGTTCATTTAATGTTTTTATATGCAAAATTGTGTTTGAACACATACATTTAACATTAGTGGCACAATACAGCTGTTTATGGTTTTCTCTTGTTTGAATTACTCCATTGCCTCTGGCATTTTTTTTTTTGTCATATCCAAATAACTTAATTGCTACATTGTCACTGTTCCGTTTGCCATATTTGCATAATTTGTGCACCTCTGGAAACAGGATCTGAAATTAGGAAAATGTGGCTTGTATCATTATATAAAGCCATAATAATTAGACGTTGTGAAATTCTGAAATAGTTTTCCTTGTGATGCTAATGGAGTCCCTGAAAAAATACATTACATCCTCTTTATTCGTTAAGTAAATAACATCGTTTTAACTGCGCCTGTTCTGATTTTTCTGTCAATTTCTGTGCTGTAGCCTTATGCACCAAAGCCAATTAGTCTTTGAATGGCAGTGTAATAATATTTGTCTTCCTGAATAATAGATGACATTTAATTTTTGTGTTTTGCATGGCAGGTACACAAAAATGAAGACGGCCACCAACATCTACATCTTTAACCTGGCCCTGGCAGACTCGCTGGTGCTGGCCACGCTGCCATTTCAGGGCACTGACGTCTTCCTGGGCTTCTGGCCCTTCGGGAACGTCCTGTGTAAGGTGGTCATCTCCATCGACTATTACAACATGTTCACTAGCACGTTCACGCTCACCGTGATGAGTGTGGACCGCTACATCGCGGTGTGCCACCCGGTCAAGGCCCTGGACATGCGCACGCCCCACAAGGCCAAGGTGGTCAACGTGTGCGTCTGGGCCTTGGCCTCAGCCATCGGGGTGCCGGCCATGGTCATGGGGGATGTGGAGGTGGAGCACAACGGTACGTAGATGTCTGCAGTGATTCCTCACCGATTAGCCATTCTTTCTCAAGTTGGCCACACGTCAAATAAAAGTGAAAGTGAAAATGAAGCTGTCAGACGCATGCAATGCTGCGTTCCATTTGACCTCAGAATCCAAGATGGCCGCGGCCTTTATCAACAGAAGTTAAAGCTGTAGTTATACACAGTTTATTAGCACTTACGTTTTGTGGCTCATTAAATTGGTCGTACACAGAGAACTGTCCAACCGCTATTTGTGGATGTGTTGCTAAGGTGTTTTTACGCATAAAATACCACATCAACTGATATTGATAAAAATGGCTAACAATTAACTGGGCTTGACCTGGGGCCTGTTTCAGAAAGTAGGATTTCTTGCTTAGTCCCTGGTATTACTAAATGGCTTTCCGACTTGCTGTACTGGAACGCGGTTAACTCAGGTGTGACGTCATTCCCAGTTCCAGCTTCCAACCTGCGAGGTAAATGGAACGCAGCATTACACATTTTTAAATTATTTTTCTATGTTCGTGAATCCATAATATGGATGTTTTTTATATTATTTCACTGCCTAATTAAGACAGTCCATCACCATGCTGATCTACTTGGGACCCCTCAGGATACTAGTTTAGTGGAGAGTCAATAACACAAAGCTTGGCTAAAATACAAACTAGAGCACATTAGTCCACAGGACTGGGATGAGAGTGCAGAGTCAGAACCGGAGTAAACAAAGGCGAAGGGTAGCAGGAGCTTCAGACAGCATAATCCTCTGCCGGAAAAAAGAGGACATACTTATAAAGGCTAAGTGCATCCACCGTGCCGATCGTTTTCATTTTTCTCAATTATATGTTTGTCAGTAAAAAACAACAAACCAGAGGTAGGGAGTTCATTTGCACAATTATGAAAAACGCTGAACCTAAAAACATTAAACCTTTATTATCTGATAAAATAAACATCCCTAAAAGTGTTGAACATTGAAAGGCCATTTTCAAACCCGTCTTGTCAGTTATTCAAATCTACCTTCCTTGTTCTTGTTCACATATACGATTTTGACACTTCAGTAGTACATAGAGAACCACAGGAGTTTCTGCACTGACTCCCATTCCTAGATAATATGGATAAATAAATATTCTTATGCAGAAACTAAATTACTACAAATATTTGGCGCAAAGGCCAAGTGAAATAAAACAGAGGTAAACTGAAGCAGGAGGTAACTGCTTAGAAAAGCCAAGAACACTGAGGATTAATAATCCCCCCCGCAGTTTATCTGGTATTTGTCTTAATCGTGTGTTGCTGCCAATATTTATTTTCGCAAATTTGTTTTTGCCATTTTAATTAACTATAATCCAAATAATTTTCCCAGACAAAGCGAGTTCCAATGCTACCATTTGTCAGTACCAGCACAAAGTGTTTATTGAACTCAAATTATATCGCCTTGAAAGTGAGGGCCGCGTTCCTAGCATGCACTGTACTGTATGAGGTGTCTGCTCATACGCTGCCGGTTTTAATTAGCCTGCTTATACTGCGCTTTGAAATATTACCGTCCTGAAAGCTGAATCTTGCTCTTTTAATTAAATTTCCTTCCCCCTCCTTGCTTTCTGTCAGCACACATTCTGCATACAGAGATCTTACCGCCAACGGAATGGCTTGAGAGAGCTTTAGCGCAGCTTGGCTAACGAACTGCTTCACGTTTACTGGAGCGTTGCTCGATGACTGCGGTAAGGGGTGAATATGGGCTGCCGGCTAGGGAGACGGAAGGTGCTGAGAGACCCTGGCAGATTCAGGGGGGGCAGCATTTTATGTGAATACAATAGATAATCATTCATCCTCAGGGCCCCCCCCCCCCCCGCTTGGCAAAATGTACTATAGGGTAAACCCCCCCACCCCTGCTTGGCAGATTCTATATACCGTGAAGGACCCATTTTTAGTTTGGGGGGGCAGAATTTCTAGATACATCCCTGGCTGCAATTTCATAATAATGTGTGTGACTGTGGTGGATGTTTAAGGTTGATTAAGAGCCCCTGGCCCTGTGTCATTCTAGAGACAGACAGTAAGGGACGGGCTGGCAGGTGCGGTTGGTATTTACTCAGGTTGCTCAGGTACATGTTGTTAATATAATTGCTGTCAGTGTAAGTTGAGGGCAAGTTGCCATGTTGAAGGAACCGCTGTTGCCTGCCTGTAAACAGGCCTGAATCATGTCCCACCAAATGCAAAATATATTCAAGGCAATACATCAAAAGCACAGCCTGTAATAAAAAATAAAAGCAATACATTAAACTCACTTTACTTGCTTAGGGATCATTCAGTGCTGTGCACAGTCACCTACAACCTCCAGGGTATTGGATTCGATTTCCAGCTCTTTGTGTGTGTGGAGATGCATGTTCTCCGATTCATCTGGGTTTTCTGCCACAGTCCAAGGACATTGGTTTTAGGTGATTTGGTGTCTCTGATTTGCCCTGATGGTGTGTGTGTGTGTGTGTGTGTGTGTGTATGTGTGAGCATTATTGGGACCACTTTAAAACTCAATTTAATAAAAATCTGTGACTGCGATGAAAAAAACTCTTGTTTATTGCTTGGTTACTTATAGTTATGGTTAGGGCTGGGGAGGAGTTAAGGTTGTCATAGTTAGCATTGGCATTTTTCCCATAGAAATGAATGAGCGGTCCCCATAAAGATATGTTTACCCGACATATGTGTGTGTGTGTGTGTAAAGAGACCACAGCACAACCTTAGCATCCTCTCCTTAGTGTCCTGTCCTCTCTGGGATCAGCTCCAGACTCTCAAGCAACCCCTACTACACAAACTGTTATGGAAGGTAGATGGATGAGCTGCTTAGATTATTTTAAAATGTTTTCAAAACAGTTAACAGACTTCCACTTGGGTGTTCTGGGTTTGTTACCATAGCCACCTTTCTTGTAATGCTCACAATCCATGGCTAGGTCTCAGTGATTTTGCTCATTGCTCGGCAAGTCCCTGGTCTCCAGTACAGCACGGCGTTTTGTTTAACCATTTCCATGCTCTCATTTTCTCTGCATCCCAAATACCTACGATTGCCTGCCGCGATGCATCGATTGGACAGCTCTCTGCCATTTGTCGATCGCCGCCACTTGTGACTCGCAGAGGTCAATGGCTTTGACTCCGGAAGTCTGCCTCTGATGTAGATTTATTGGTGAATCTGCTGTCCGGCAAAGAACAAAACAAGGGATGGAGCCTTGGATCTTGCATTATTCGTTGTTCTTAGTGCAGGTGGGGGCCATAATGTAATTTACACATGTCTCTGGGAAGCCTGCCGCTAGCGGACAGTGATGCGATGGAGATCTCGCTGAACAGCAGCTAGAAGGGAGGAGGGGTCACAGGGGCAGTAATTAGAATTCGTGCGGCAGAGAAAACATACAAAAGTGACATGGTGAGTGCAGGCTACAATTTAAAGCCCCCCCCCCCCCCCCCCCNCCCGCCGACCCTCCCCCCTCCCAGAGAGAAATCTGTCAGGCATAATATTGGTTTAGCACAGCACCACAAGCCTGTCAAGCTCCTACAGTAAATGTACGTGTGTGTGTCTCGGGGGGGGGGGGGCTCTCATCACAGATATTTACTAGTGAGCATGACGAAATCCCTGTGTGTGTGTGGCATGTGTATGAAGCTGCTTATTGGTATGCTGGACAGCGCAGACCGTTGCAGTTTGGGGACGCATGCGTGACTGTGATTCAGGGTCTGCCAAAAAGCCACAGAACTTTGACCTGGGCCAGTATGCACTCCAAAGTATAGAGAAACAATAATGGAATATTCTCCACAGTTAAATATCACATTTATATTTTTGCATTTCGTTCATGAACACGATGCTCTTATGCAGAACAATTTGCATAAACGTTGTAAGAAAACACAACATGGCATTAGGATACAACAATGTCATAAGAGAAGTGGTATTTCCCACATTATAGTGCGCTAACATCAGCACAGTATGAATGTATGCAAAAGAAAATGTTAAAATCCAGCCAGGACAGTGGAATATTAACTCTGTGAACTTGTGGTTCTTCCGGGGCAATCATTACCAGTTTTTGAGTGTTATCTTCTAGGCAGTTAATCTCTTAATTATGACATAAAGGTCAACCTTGGGAATGGATCCTGTCACCTAAAAACACCTGTAGGGTTAGGGGCTTGGAATCATAGCCCTGCTCTCTGTGTGCAGCCTCTCTGTGGTTGGGGGACATGCTGTTAGGTCAACCTGTACCCAAACTGGTGGCGCATGTGTGTACCCTGTTACAGACCGGCAGCCTATGCGGAGGGTTGCCCCACACTACCCCCCCAGGCTGCCAGACCCCCCACACTAGAAGATGGTGACCTGTAACACCAACATTTTCAGAAAAAATCGAACACTAGCAGCTCCTGCCAGAAATGGACCCAGTGCGGAGACCTTTCTAAAGCACTTCTCAAAATTGTGCAGAACGCATAACAATTTTCAAAGCATAATTGCTCAGAAGTTAATACATAATATTTGTCATCGTTTTAGCATCATGTTGGGTTTTACTGGCACCCACATGTCATATATTTATCATATCTGCTCTGTATTTATCAGTAACATGTATATATGTATATATACTGTATATCAATCCATCCATTTTCTGTAGCCGCTTGTGTTATTCAGGGTTGCGGGCGGTCCGGAGCCTGTCCCAGAGGCTATGGGCACAAGGCAGGGATCAACCCAGGGTGGGGCGCCAGGCTGTCACAGGGCACACTCACAGATTGTTAGTTTACTCACATACAAACACTCACACACATACACACACACACCTATGGGAAATTTGGCAACTCCATTCAGCCTCAGGGTGTTTTTGGACTGTGGGGGGGACTGTGTTTGGAGCAACTGGAGGAAACCCCACAATGACACGGGGAGAACATACAAACTCCACACACACACACACACACACACACAGGGAGAGAGAGAGAGGTTTGTAATTATATCTTTGTGGGGACTCTCCATTCATTTCTATGGGTAAAACTGTAATCCCAACATGATGACCTTAACCCCTACCCAGCCCTAACCTTAAATACATATACACACACACACACACACACACACACACACACACACAGTGGTACCTTGGAACATGAACTTAATTCATTCCAGACTCCCAAATGACTGCCTATTTAAACTTATCTACCTACATAACTAATGATAAAAAGCATTAATAATCAATATAAAACTAACACACACATGAAAAAGCACACATACAAAGCAATAAACATGGAATAAATGACAATGCCAAACTCCGAATTGAGAGCAGAGACACGTGCACTATAAATTACAGTCTCGCAATAATTTCCTTTTTAAGTTATACAGTTACTCTCACCACTTGCCTCTTTGATTTGCTGCTATTTGGTTTGCTGCTCACTTTGTTAGGGGCCATAATTACTGTATCACCACATGTACTGTACATAAAGCACAAAAAATTCACACCAAACACAGCTCCCGCACGTCGAGCTCAGTCGAGAGGTACGGTTGTAGCGGTCTGTTTTGGTTTGTCGTGTTTTTGGTCGGGTCGCTATTAGATTTTTCTCGACCGACCCGTTTGAGGTCCGAATTCGTAGAGTTGAATGTGTCTCGCCCCGTACAAGTTTTAGCAGGATCGGTCGTGCTCCATGATTTCAATCGAGGTACAAGTTGAAAAAAATTCAACAGACTCGTCCGATGTCCAAGTTGGTCGTTAAGAGGTGATCGAGTTCCAGGGTTCCACTGTGTGTGTGTGTGTGAGAGAGAGAGAGAGAGAGAGAGAGAGAATTCACCTAATTATATCTTCTGACAGTGGGAAGAATATGAAACACCAAGAGGAAACACTGAGAGAGCATTTAAACTCAGTAGAGGAATCAAACCCCACAGTCCGTCCCTGTGCTCCATAAATGTGCATAAATGTGCTTTGAAAAACTTTGTAAATTTGTAAACATACTTTGCAGAACAGCTGTAATAATACTGCTTCAAGTGCTTGGTGAATAGGTGTGGGCCAGTCGTTTTACATGATAAGCAGAGGTGAGCTTCCTGTTTAGCTGTGCATGATTGTTCTTCAGTACCATGCTGGCCTCTCGCCACCTCCTGTTCTCGGGAGAATCACGGGGAGGCGGCATCTGCACACAGACGTTTTCCCTCCAGCGTTTTCAGTATCACAATCCATCTGCCGCCGGGGATCCAAGCTCATTCGTTATTCTGGTCCAGCCGCACTTGCACTGGCACCGAGTTCTCACTGCATCAGGGACGCACATAGCCTCACCGCAGGGACCCTCTACTCAGCCTATTGATGGGTTTGCACATTAAGTCCTTTGCTGGAGCCCATTTTTTAAATTATTGGTTTTCTGTTGCCACTGCTGAGATGAAGGCTATATTTGATGTAACGATACTGAGAGAACTACAAACATAATGTTGTAAGTTGACCAGGAATAGTTAAGAGTTTATAGACTAGGTGAACAGAAGTGGAGCATCTAACTTCTTGATCAGCTTGTACACACAATGGAAGACACACAAATATGAGCCAGATACTAGAGCATTAGACTTTTTGGTAGCTCAAAATATGAATACCTTCATATTGCATTATAATGGTCAGTATAGGAATTAATGATGCTTTGTACTGCATTATGAAGGTATTTATAGTGCATTACAGATGAGAGCTTCATAGCGCATTCATAATGTTTAACAAACATGGCTATAATGTTTGCCTTTTTATGAAAAGTTATTGGTGTCTTTATAATGCTTTATAAATGAAATATAATGCATTATGAAGGTATAAATAATGCATTATACATCAGTACTTTAAGTAATGTGTTACTGACTTTTTACCCAACTTTTAAAGCATCTGCCTTTGTCTTTGTCGTTCTCCCACATTCACCTGCAGGCAGATCTGAGTGGTTGAACTTTCTGAACTGTAACCCGACTCTAGTCAGAAACCCATCTCACCTGCTCTGTTACAATTACTTTTGATTGATGACTCTGTATTTCCAAACCCTCCCCTGCACCCCCCACCCCCCAACGCAGGAATCGAGTGTATCGTGGTATTGCCAGACCCGCGTAGCTACTGGGAACCTGTGTTTGGCACCTGCGTGTTCCTCTTCTCCTTCGTGGTGCCGGTGGCCATCATAAGCGTGTGCTACAGCCTGATGGTGAAGCGGCTGCGCAGCGTGCGGTTGCTGTCGGGCTCACGGGAGAAAGATCGCAACCTGCGGCGCATCACGCGCATGGTGCTGGCTGTGGTGGCGGCCTTCGTGGTGTGCTGGACGCCCGTGCAGATCATGGCGCTGGCCCAGTCCCTTGGCGTCAACCTAGGCAGCCTGCTGACGGTGGCTCTCATGCACTTCTGCATCGCCCTGGGCTACGTCAACAGCAGCCTCAACCCCGTGCTCTACGCCTTCCTGGATGAGAACTTCAAGCGCTGCTTCCGGGAGTTCTGCCAGCCCGGATCCTTGCACACGGACGCACCGCCGCGGGTCCCGGCACGTGCCTCGGGGGGGCCCGGTGTGCGGGGGGACACCTACGATTACGGCTGTGGGTCTGCCGATGGACACGGCCGTCCCGCATGACTAGATGTGGAGCTGCCTCTGGCTGGAACAGGACCGCCCAAGCCAGGCAGCTCCAACAGCGAAGTGACCCAGATCACCAACCTGTAGCTATGCAGGCTTGGAGACAAGCATGTAAATACACACACACACACAATTCCACATGGGACAAAGGGGCTCTCGTCTTTACTGTCTAGCATCACTGCGGCTTTGAAGGCTGCTCTTTAATTTTTGCACGGTTTGCTGGTTGACATTTCCATCATCATGCTGTAGTAACGAAGAACTCGGGTTTATACAGAAGCATCACAAACTGATTAAACGTGGTTGCGAGACACCAAATCAATTGGGGACCCATCTGCATAGAAATGAAATTCTTGTCAGTTTCACATGGACTCCAGCATGGACAGTTGAGCACTTCATAAAAGCAGAAGAAAATATTTTTTCTGACAGTAAAAATCTGGTAAAAAAAAGACCCAGACAACAGTAGATGATATTTCCCTGTCTAGATTTCCAGCCGGCCTTTAACTGGGTCTTTGGGTGAAAACCCCATCCGGACAAATTGGGCCAAATAATATCTTCTTGACTATTATCATATATACTAATGTTGAATATAAATGCATGTCACCAATATTAGATCAACTATCAGATCAAAACAGAGGAAAATGAGTAGTGTGTGGTGCTGCGGCGTTTGTAACAGGCCTTTGTGCCGCCTAGAAAGGTTGCTGGTTCAAATCCTATGACTGGCAGTGTGGCTTCACCACTGAGCACTTGATCAAGGCCCTTAACCCCAAACTGATCCCAGGATTGTCAACCCCTGCTTTCTCAAAAATATATGTTGCTTTGGGAAAAAAAAAGTATTTGCTAATAAATGTAATGTTTGCAAAACTGCTCATGGCACAATTGCCCTTCACTGATGTTTGAAAGGAGCCATTTGGCCAAGATGGGGAAGGAACGTGGACACTATCCTAACACCATCCTCATGTGTGGAGAGATTTGTGGGAGGGTCATCATAATCTGAAATAACGTACCTGTCACTGAAATGACCAAAAAAGGCTTTGTTTATGTGTTGATAATGATGTTGATTGGTCACAGTGATTAATGATGGTTTTATATAGTGCACTGAAGATAGCATACCAGTATCACTACAGTGGACATTCACTGAGCACAGTTACTGTGTACCTGTGGTGCGGCTGGATTGTTGGAACTGGTTTATAAACAGATGAACTTTACAGACACTAAGGAAAGAAGACAAATCCTCTATAAATATTATGTATATATATTGTCATGCCAATTATGAAGACTTGAAATGTTTTCTTCCCTGCATTGTGAGATTTTCAGATAAATGGACGCAACATACAGTAGCACCCTCCACCCCACACGACTTACACTTCAGAAAGGTTTTAGCTTTTTGTAAATGCTGTGAAACGGGAAATTGTTCATCCAGTTGTTGCTTTCTGCTAGACAATTGCTTCAAATTTTTTTACAATTTTGACTTTTAGCTGTAGTATATATGTTTTGCCGAGCAGGGAAAGATATTGCAGAGGAAATGCTCTGATTTACCCTTCCTTAGTGGTGGGACATCCTGAACCAGAGAATAAGTGGACAAAGAAACAAATCTAAAATCTCAGCCACGTCTTGAAGCCAGCGTTACAGCTTGTTTGGTGTTTCTATTGTATCCAGTACTTCTGGACAGGAAACACACCGTGCTTTACAAGTGTATAAGGATATTTTGTTTACAATGAATACTTAATGGCCTGTGAAACCTGATGTTTTGTGATTATTTGTTCCTGCTATTTTGATGAATATAAGAAACTGTTTGACAAAAAAAGTAGCCTATAATAGACCAAAAACAGTTTTATTTATATGTAAATAAACATGTAAAAACAGCTATGGTAACTGCAGGGCAATATTGCTCTTAATTAACAGTACTTTGTGTTGTGTTTAGGCTCTTGTACTGTGAATTGTCATTTTGCTCTTGTGTAAGACAGAGAGAATTGTATTCAGTTATTTTCAAACAGCCAAGTGTTAACCAACATCAAGCCAGATTTTGCAAAAAATAATAAAAACAATAATGAAATAATTTTCTACTGGATCATCCATCCATCCATGCTGTTCTTATCACTTTGGATGAAAATGATTTTAATTTAAGCTGTGGTCATGTGACATGGAATAACCAAAGGAGTAGCCAGAATAATGTGCAGAAATGTATGTATTGTTGATACTGGTGATACTCAGGTTAGGAAGTTGCATATTTACCTTCCCAAAAACTTAATGTTCCAAATGATATGAAACAGCAAGAGTGTTTTTCACGTGATTACATGCCGTTTTGCATCCTTATTTACATCACTGTTCCTTTCTGTGCTGCTCTAGTTCCTCATTGGATGGTTATTTGGCAAAATACTGACCTATGAGTTCTTCTTAAGAAGCAGTTATTTTAAAAATGGTCCTCACTTTTCACCTTCCTCAAAAGATATGTCACATGGACACATTTCATGGCTAAGTGGTTTTTAAAATATTGTACCAGATGGGTGAGCGAAAGTGGTTTGAAACACACAAACAAAAGATGAGGGACCTGAATTGCCTTCAGGAGTTCCTTAGGTGAAGTCCAATTTGCGGTTGCCAGGTCTTGATAAAAAGGGCAGCCATACAAACAATACCACCCCCATTATTACCTAAACTGGAAAAAGGCCCATAACAGAAAATATGGCTTTTCATCTTGTCCTTTCATAATACATCTGCTGATTGGTGCAATAGGCTGCTCCTATTAAGTTGCTATGCTAGGTCAGAGAAAGCATGGCAAATACATCGTGGTCTATGGTATCTTTCAATGCATTGCTGTTCTTCCACGCTTGATACATCATTCTCTGCTCATTGCATCTTATTGATGATACTGTGCTTGTATTTTTGCTCAGTAAAGCTAAGCACGACTGGTGCACTGGTGCAGCGCACCTGCTTGATATCATCATCCATTGGCAAAGTACAGTTCCAATACTAAGGAATAGAAGTATGGCATACAGTAAAAAATCCTGGATGTCATTCTTGCCCAGCCCCAAATATCAAGGGTCCATCGTTTACATCTGCGCCAAATGAGACCAATCCCATGATTCATAGTTTGTTCTTGGGAAGCAAGTTAGCAAGACCGGTTTTGCCAAGAACACAAGTATGATCTTTGTGTTCTTGGTATTGTGTCTATATGGAGGGAAGCGGGGGGTGGCTTATGAAATACACTGGCATCTCATCCAGGGAGGTGCCAACTTTGTACTTCCTGGGATAAGTGATTAATTATAGATGGGTAATATATGTAATACAATTTCCCAAAACAAATGCATCTTTCCATCCATTCACTCATCTTCCAGAATCATAAAATAGACTACAGTGTAAAACTGTATTATACATTAGATGTATATTATAATGTAAAACAAACATTTTGGCTGGTTTTATTTCAGTTTTATTCCACACCCTTTAGTGAAGCCGTACCCTTTTTAGACTGCACTTGTGCCACAGAAAATCTGTCAGAGAAGACCGGGTGATCTCTCGAAAGCCTTCTGGAGTTTTCCAATTATCGGTGTGATGACAGAGAACCTGCGTGAATTTCATCTCCCCGACGCAATCATCCAGCCCGCCGAGTCACCGCCATACCTGTTTGCCATGGCAACTTGGCTGCCGGTGGCCTTGAATCCAGTGTTACACAGCTGTGTCCAAAATGGCTCAGGGCGCCTAAATGAGGTCGTTCTAATAAAACTCACCTCTGTTGTCTGTGAGAAAGAGGAAGTGAGGGCCTGAACTTGACGGCTTTACAATCATAACGCTGATGTTATACTGTAATACCCCACAGATAAATCCCTACCAAGGCATAAAGCCACCCTGTAATACTTTGCTCTTGGATTATAACAACGGTTAAGTGTTAACACGAAACAAGGGTTTGCTGCAATAACAAGTCTTTATTCTATAATATTTTATATTTTTATATGATACTTTAGGCCATACGATCAGATCTGCACGGTTGCTTGCTGGTACTAAGAGCTTTTATCTTTTTCCAAGCTCTAGATGCACATCATTTCCCTTGAGGTTATGCGTTGGAGGAGGGCAGCACAAGACAATAATGCTTCACCACATGTGGTAATTGCATCTTGTGCTGTCGTTATTGTCCACTCAGCATCATATATTACCTTGAAGACCACAGCGTTAATGTGATGTAATATTCCTGACCGCGTGGAAACCAGGGCTTGGTCGGTGCAATTCACAGTTGATGGCTCTGGTGCATTTTGACACAGAACAGCTAATCGTGTTAGCGGTCATTAGTGCAGCTTGCATCGGATCTGGTGGGTTGCTGTGTCTCCAGGCACTGCGCATTTGGCATGCCTTATCTTTGGTTTGCTCACCTCAGAATATCACAGTGCTGCCCCTGTGCATCAATGATTTGGACAGAGACAAACGTCCCTGAACAAAATCGCCCAGTTCCCATCTCCAATATCAAAGAGGGGAAAAAATAAGCAGGAGTAAGATAAGAGGTTTCTGTGCCTCTATTTCAGAAACTGCCCGTGTCTTCAGGTCCCATCCGAATGGTGCTGAGAACGGGCCGATCCCCCGTGTGGAAAAACAAAGGCGCCTATTTCCGCACCACTGCATGCAAAACGCTCCCGTGTAACACTCATCTATGCTGGGTGCACAGGTGCAGAACCTCTCAACTGGGTACACAGGCAATCCAGCTGAACCAGGTGCTACCTAATGGTCAATTTGAAACTTTGCGTCAGCACAACTTCCCCCGCTGTGCGCAATTAGACGTGTGTGAGAAAAACACACCCGCTGACAAGCGGTGAGGTAAAAGGAGAGAATAAACAGAGTGAAAGAAAGATGGATTGCAAATAGAGTGAGAGAAGACAGAGCAACTACAAATGCCTTGTCCAACCCCCAGGAGCATGGTTTGGGGGTGGGCAATACGTCCCTCCCTCAGCACTGAGAGCGGTAAATTGTACTGCCTGTGCTTACAGCAGGAGGGAATGATCAGAAGAATGCAGATGCTTTCTTGCCATTACTATTTTCAGCACGAATGTATTGATTTCAAATTTGTGTCAAGCTGTCAAAATCTCTGCCTGAGCAACTTTTCAACAGCCAAATTAAGCAATTCCCAAAACTGTATGAGTACAGTACATACAAATAATTGTGATGGTGAAATGGTTTAAAGATGAGAGGAGAAGTGTTTATCCTACATACAGACACATACATACACACATGCGCAGGCAGATGTCGGGGGTGGGGTTTAATTAAAGGTACCGTGCAGCCTTTAAACCTCTCAGCACCTGACCCTCTGTGGGTCTCTCTACACCCTTTGGTGTGTGCGCAACCTTTCAAAGGCACAAATATAGAAATCCCCACACACACAATATGCAGCCACATGTGTGAGAATTATGTATAGACACACACAGAGACACACTCGGACATACAAGCGTAGCAGCGGAAATGCTTTATGGAGTTCAAGATTTCCGAGACAGTGGGAGCTTTCTGCCTCTATTGCGGCACCGAGCCCAATTACGAGCACATCAGAGAGTGGTGTACTGCTCCTGTCCGAGCCTTTCTGACTCACATCTCACTGATGGTGGGTGGCGGGGGGGGGGGCTCATACAGAAACAGTGAAGCTTGCAGCTGAAAAGGTGCCTTGCACCTTCGACAGTAGAGGACCCCTCCTTTTTAAACAAATTGCCCTTTTTTAGAGACTCTTCTGAAAGGCGGCCTGCCGGTTCTGTCGGGTTGCAGCCATTTGTGAGCCAAGTTCACCAGTTAATAAGAGAGACTTCCATTATAGCTTCAACCTCACAAATCCAACGGAAACTGAGTCATACTCCAAGACTTAACCCACAATGAAGGTCTAATGCACTGCTTCTGAAATTGTTTGGAGACCCACCAAAAAATATTAAACAGTTCACGCCATGCGTTATGCTAGCAATTTGCTGCTGATTAATTTTGTCGAGAGGGGGGGTTTCCCCATGAAAAATATCCAAATTATTTGCAAACTCCCCCCAGTGGATCATGTCCCACAGTTGTAAAACCACTGGTCTAATGTACAGTACATTCACTTCCATTTGTTAGCAAATTATTGCGAGGCAAATAGCACATTATGAACATACATGCCGGCAAGGAGTCAACTAGGCTTAGGTGCAGCTGGGCTGAGCTTCCAATGAATACCCAAGGATGAGTGTAAGCAGTGGAGCAGGAGCCACACAACAACTTCCAACAAAGCAAGAATCCAATAGGACTATTCAGTGATCAGGCAGTGTGGACAATGCCTCATGTCTCCTTTTGAGGCCGAACATATGACAATATGAAAAAGCCATGGAAGTGGGCAACCCTACGACCATGACCTCAGAATCCTTTATCAAGCATCACCGCCATTCTTTTTATGCCTCCCTCAACTTGCTCTTTGTAGGGCAAGCTGTCTGTGAATGGCAGCCACCTGTTGGGGCACCCAGGGAGCTGGGGGTTAAGGGCCTTGCTCAAGGATTGAAGCAATTACCGATGACATCCGTAATTTTAATCCAGTCTGAATCTGCCATCTCTTCAATTATTAGACCTACCAGTTTCCGGAGTAAAAATTCTGAAGTGAATTAGTATCTGTATTCCAGCAAACACGGACCTCTTTCAGTAATAGTAGTCCAGTCTTGAATTGTCATCTCGGTAATAAGGTCATATCTATAAAGTCATGCCAATTTATTTTAAGGCGGAAACAGCATTTGTGTGCTACGATATGCATGAATAGATACTGAGTTTTCTACATAAACGTCTAACAACCTACACCTACAGCCTCTACTTCATCAAGGTACTGTATTCAGCAGGTGCAGAGCAGTACAACTACTGGGTCCACTGATTTGTAAGCTGAGATAATGGTTGAGAGGGATAAATTTTGTTTTTCATTGTATGATAAAGAAACAGGCCACCCCTCATTTACCCATTTTCTATACTCACTTGTCCTTTGCAGAGTCACCCAAAAATGAAAATTCTGTTGTCATTTGATTTCTAGATACACTAACTCTGACATT